AGTGGCGCCGCGAAATAGTGTTGCCAGAGATGACAGGACAAAGCGCCGGACGGTTAACGCACCATAGATCGTCAGCCGAGCAGAGCCGAGTTATTGTAATTGTCCGTATTAATATACTCACGAAAAAATGAGATTACAGGTAACATGTCAACAATGCTTGTGTAAGGGCAACTGATACAGGTATACACTCAGCGTTGCTCGTGTAATGCTCGAGTAACGCACAATTCCCAACGGTTCCCGTCCACTTATACAGGTAACGACTGTTCCTAAATGCAGTACTTGAGTATTTTCAGCAGATTACTTGTACTGATGAGCCGTTGCGTCAACAAGCTCAAGTAACAATAAGGAAATGTTCGTGTAATATAGCCCCAACACTCGTGTAACCGTCGGGCAGCATGGGATCAGCAGGCCCAGTCAGGCGACAACAACCACTCATCGCGTGGTGAGACTGTTGTTTCACCGTATCCTCTGCTACCGATGGTCGGTAGCAGAGTGCGATTGCTGGGGCGAGGGGAGGCTGGCCGCGCTTATTTTGTAGCACAACGTCACTGTTGTGCGATGGATTGTTGGTGGCGGTTGGGCTGTGCGGTGGGGGAGGGTCGTTTTTTTTGTGGGGCGGGGGCATATGTTCTGCATGGGGGGGGGGTTGTCCTTAAACAGTTGCACTGCTACATGAGAGAGGGAGGGGATGGGAGGGATGGTTCGTTGATTCCGATGAACTTCAAGGAAGAAAGGGGTGGGGGTTGCTGGCTGGTTTCTTCTGGGGTTTTTCGTCGTGGTCGGATCACACCACTTGGGGGTCGCGCTCGCAGCTATCTCCAGTGAAGACTTTCACTGACGTGCAAGGAGTGGGAGAGACGGTTGAATGATTCCAGCTAAAAGGAAGGGAAGAAGAAGAGTTGGGTTTTGCTTGGTTTTTTTTGGGAGTCGGGGGTTGTTATGTGCCAGTAAATGTGAACGGTTCCGTTATCCCGGTTGTGTAGTGACACTACTCATGGCTTTATGTGCAACTTCCGTCTTCATTCACCATTTTTTTTTCGGGAACATGGGAAAATTTCGTCGTGCGCGTGTGAGGATATTAAGCAAATCGATGACGCCTGGACAGTCGGCTGTGTGTCAAGGGTGTTCCATGTTTGGTGTCGAGCAACATGGGCGATGTCAATCGTACGATGTAGCTGCCCCGCGGCTTGTCGTAGGACATTCAAACGAGCAGGCTTCGCAGCAACTGGAGCCAGAGCGAATTGTA